GTTGCATCCTGAGTCAAGAAACCACACTTGAGTGTTGCTATTTGTATTTTCCCTTTGAGCCATGAGTAACATCTCCTCGCTTTCATCAAATTCAGCAATGTTGGCATCATTCTCTTGCTAACTTTGACATTCTCTTTGATAGTGCCATAACTTGTGGAATTTGTAACATTTAATTTCATCCCTGCCCAGTCTTCCTCTGCCATGATCTTGAAAGCCACCACGCCCTCTACCTAGACTATTGGCACCACCTCGACCATAACCTACAATTTCTTACACTTGTTCATCATTCTTTTCTTGATTGATCTTCATTCTTTTTTCATGCATCAAGAGACTGCTCTGTAACTCATCAATGGAAAATGTTGAAGATTCGCTCGATTCTTCTATGGAGCACACCACATAATTGAATTTTATGGCAATATACCTCAACACCTTCTCAACAATGATCGTTTATTCCATCGTTTTACCTTGAGTAGTCATCTTGTTTGCAATGGCCAAGATTCTTGCAAAGTATTCATCTGCAGTTTCGTTATCCTTCATACAAAGAACTTCAAATTCTCAATGCAAAGCCTGCAATTGGTCTCTCTTCACCTTCGTGGATCCTTGATACTTCCTGCACATAGACTCCCATATATCTTTGGTTGTGTCGCGATTCATAATCATTTCAAGAATTTTTTGATGAATTGCTTGAAACATATAGTGTTTGGCCTTCAAGTCCTTAAGCATACTCTCATATGCAAGTTTTCTTTCTTCGGGCGTTGCTTCAGGTGGTGCAATCATGACTCTGTTCTCTATCAATTCCCAATATTCCTTGGATCGGAGAAGATTTTCTATAAGCATGGCCCAAAGGTCATAGTATCCATCGAATTTGGGATTTCTGGTGTCAAGAATTTGGTATATCAGGAGGAAAAAGTGTAACAAGAATAAAAACTTTCTCAGCACAAAAACAAAACTATGTTTCTTGAAAAAAGGTTAAAATATGGATCATGAACCATGCTCTAGATACCACTTGTAAGAATATGAGAGTAGTTTATATAGAAAGCAACCACATAAAAGAGTAACTACTTCATAAAAAACTTCTAGTTAGTTATTCTAATGGAATAACAACTTTTAACAGGGGCACATGCCTACACTATTGTCAATGTGGCTTCTTCCCTTACCAAGACTCTTCTAGAATCTTTTAACACATACACACTAAATCTATGGTGGAATTTGAATCAATTATTCAAAGAACCTTTTCACAAATGATGATTCTCACATAAATCACAAAGCACGCTGTTTTATGTTTACAGCACTTAGAAAGCACACCACTTTCTATTACAAATCAAATCACCACATACTTGGTGATCAATTACAACTCATGAACAAATATGAATATATGAATTTTTTTCTTGAATCAATTCCAAGGCAAAAAATTGATCTTCTCTTTCAATCTACAATTCAAATATAATAGTGTCAAGGTTTTGGATGGAGAAAAACTCTTAAAACATACTTGAATTGTAGTTTAAACTTTAAGTGAAAAAGGTGAATCATGATTTTGAATGACCATGGACTTATATACACCCTATGAAACATCTTAGATCAGTTTTACATGTTGGTAGATGTTTCATGAAGTTTGCACTAGTTTAGAATAGCAATGGTTAATGAAAGAATGCATTGTGCAGTTTTGAACGTTTAAATTTTTCAAAGTTCCAAACTGTGTAACTGGTCGCATAAATGTTGTAAGCAGTTACGCCTTTAACAGATTTGAAAAATATAAGAAAATGAACTTGTAATCGGTTACCAATAGAGTGTAACCAGTTACACTATTGTGTAACTTAAAAAATACTTTTGCGAATGACTTGACATGCAAGGTATTGATGCATGGATGCTTAAAAACATTTAAGATGAAAGGATGAATGATTTCCTGAGCATTTAAGGATATACATATTGTGGATTATAATAGAATATCTTTGCATTAAGATCAATTCCTCTTAAATCAACATCCAATGGCTTATGTAATCTTGATATTTGGGTGAGCTTAGACTTCAACCTTTTAGTATCAGGATCAATGTCTGTTTTTGTCTTTATCATCCAATAACTTAGTGCATATTTGATCCTTTTGAAATATCTTTTGATACTTGATGTTGAAAATCATTTTCCTTATTTTTGACACTTGAACTTTTTATATTCTTTGGTATTCATCAAAACTTTATACTTATTGCATTTTTTTCCATAATCTTCGCTTTTTAATGATGACAAAAACTTGACATTGTGTTTCTGACTTCCTTTAGAAAAAGCTCCTTCTACACATACACATCCCCCTAAACCACGTGTCTCCCCCTAGTTTGGTGAGTCCTTAGCTTCATATAAGAAATAAAATTACCAAGAGTCGTATGTATTAAGAGTACATGAACCATAAAAGCAGGAGAGTGCAAAGAAATAAGTCATTTTGAAGAAATGTAAATAAAATAGAGAAGAATGGTCAATTCATTCCATCTGGTTCTCATTATAATTGTTTCCCTTGTGTTTTCCTTACAACCTTCCCACCTTATCAGAAAGTCCAGTCACATCTGGACGAAGGTGTCCAAATTGTTCCACAATGTCATGACGAAGGAGTCCAAACTGTTCCACCATGTTTTCCATTATCACTTGGTTTGTTAGGCATGCATCTTGAGTAGGAGCGAAAGGTTCAACAATGTCTTCATCTCTGTGTTTGAACACACCGTCCTTTGTATCATAATAGATTCCCAACAGAATAGAGAGGTCGGTGAGGTATGGCACCAATAGAAAATTTTGTTTTATTAAAGAACACTTGTTGTGTAAACCTAATGATAAAGTATAATATGATTTCTCTTAGTATCCATTCAAATTCATAATAAAATCGGCCTAAATCTCAACACCTTTGTAAGGAATGTTCAAACATTATCCTAATTGCTCTTTATTCAAAGAGATTGGTTTTCCATTAACATTTGAACATGATTTAGAATTCTTAAAACTCATATTTCTATTATATACTCTAACAAGATTAGGAATATATGCCTATAGTCAATGGCCAAGTCCTCAATGTTTTGTTTTTAAAAAATGCTAGGAAATTCAAAGCCATGAGTACTGAAGGACATAACTTATCAGATTTAGGAGATATCAACTTTTTTTCACGGAAAAATGATAGAAATCGAGCCTTTTCTTCTGATGATTTCAGCAACCTTGATACATTTAAAGGGTCTTCCCTTCACCTTGATGGACCTGATGAAGTATTCTTCTTTCCCCTTTGAGAAGCCATGAAAGAAATGAGTAAAACAAATATGATTATGAAAGCCTTGGTGTTGATACAAAATAGGATATAAAGAAACCTTGAGAGAAGGACCTTTTGAATATTGGGAGAATAAGGGTTTGGGGGCGCCTCTGGGTTTGCAAGAGAGGGAATGAGAAGATTTGACCAAATGAATGAGTTTAACCTTAAAAAAACAAAGTTTTTGTGGGTGTAACCGATTACTGTGTTGTGTGTAATATTTCTCCCATTTTTATTTTTATCCCTCGGCAGGCGAAATTGACGCCCTTCTATATTTAATTATATTCCATCGTGAGAATATGAAGACTGACATCGTTCATTTTCTCTGATTGAAGATATTTAAATCAAGGCAACTGTCACACCCTAAATTTTCTCCACCATTTTATTTGATCTTTCTATTAGAGGTCACATGTTTGTGTCACTTGATATGAGTCTTTGTTTGAGACATTGTGCCTTTGCTTGTGTACTTTGCACTCATATGAGTCTTTGGACTTTGAGTAAAATATTTTGGTTCATCTAAGTCTTAGAACTTCGACGGGGTCATGTTGTTTCATCTGAGTCATCTGAATAGGTTGCATTGGTTTGAGTCAAAGGTTAACCCAGTTGATTAAAAGTCAAAGGGGTCATTTTGACTTTTTATCCATTTCTTTTTTAATTTGTTTATGCATTTATTTTATTTCTAGTATTTTCCCTTTTCATTTCTTTTATTTAGATTACTATTAGTTTTACTAATTAATCGTTTTTTAATCATTTTTATTTAATCATTCTTAATTAGTAATGTTTAAAGGACTTCGTCTAAGTAATGCTTGAAGGACTCGTTACCACAGTCTTCGCATAAAACAACTAAATTAATCACTTCATTATTCTCATGTTTTGTGCATTAGGAATTGTGGATTATGATAATTTTATTGGGCTTAAAAAGAAGCAACCAATATGACCTTGAAGGAACCGGGCATACATCACCTCAAGTTGCACGCCTGTGACATTGGTAGTCTAACCTAGACCCGTGTTTGCCACCTGATCCACTTCACCAACACACAACAGATAAGGTTTTCAAGAAATAGTCAGTTGGACTGTATCATCAAAGGGGGAAAATTGTCCCCTCTATAATGAAAGAAGAATTAGTCTCCTCTATTCCCAAAAACTCATTGAAAATATAGGAGAAAACTCTTTCTTTCATATTACCTAACTTAAAAGCCTCTTGCATCCTTCCATTTGAAAAAGTTTCCATTATTGTATTTTAGAAATGATTTTTCAAAAAAAAAACATTACTATTTATATTGAAAATGAGACAATTGAAGAACTCATCTATTATGATATTTATTATTTTAGCTATATCACAAAAAATGAGCACAACTTCAAAAAAGTAAATGCTAAATCTTTTTATATTTATATGACAATATTAACATAAGTTACATCGTATAATTTTAAACTTCTTATACCTTTTATGCATGTCAAATTTTAAACTTCTTTTACTAAATTATACTTTTAAATTTGACCACCTCTAAGCTGAATCTTTTACTCCATATCTTATTAATATACATTATAGAACAATTAAATGAAGTCAAGAAAGAACAAGCTTCATATATGTATCACACTTTAGACAACAAGAATTCTACTAATAAAAAACAACATAAATTTTTTAAATATGTTAATCAAACACCATCCTTACTAAGATTATATAATTCTGTAAACACATAATTGCACAAAATAATAAATAATGTTTTTATACCTAAATAAACTTGTTAAAGTATTTTCGGAGAATAGGGGGAACAAGTTTTCTGTAAACAGATTCAGTAGGGTGAAAACTGTCCCAAAACACATAATCCAAATCATTGGAACATATGATATCCAAGCTATTACATAAATAAGTAACTTCTATTGTTCCAGTGCCACAACACCCTTTGTTTCCCACTTCATACCCTACAATTTTACAATAAATAATTTTCATAAGTTCAATTCTTTTAAATATCTCGTCAATTCAATTCAATTGATAACCGCATGAATATTTTTTTACAGAGACGCATTTGAATCTATAATATCTTATTTATTTATTTTTAAATTTTCAAATTCTAATTATTAATGTATTATATAAAAAAAAAAATTAGAAATACGAGAACATTACCATATTGTTGGTTGTTGAGAATGATATCGAGTAGAGGATTGTAAACATCCATGTAAACAACTCTGCTACTTGGAAAATTCTTGTTAAAAGAATCAATAGTAAGTGACAACTTGTTGTTAAAGAACACAGATGCATCATTGTATTCTTTCACACAATTTCTTTGTATTCCTCCTGCCATTGTTCTTTGAAATGGAACACACCCCATTGGTGGTACATTAAATACTCCAATCCTCCTTGCACCTAGGTCATACATTTCCTTCAATTGTATACAAAAGAAAAAGTAATGATAGTCAGACACTCATTTTTGATAGTGCGACACCTGATTAATCAGGTTTTAAAATATGGTATACTCAGTTGAGTAAACGATTTATTCAAGTTGCACACAATTGTATTGCATATTTTCAATTGTGACATATATTACATATTTATTCAACTGAATCGACCAGACTGTGGCGGATGTAGCAAAAATTGTGTGTTGAAGAAATATTTTTGATGAAAAAATAAAATTACCTTGTAGAAGTTATAAGCTGAGTTGACTAAGAAATCAGAGTATGTAGGAAAATCATATTCCACTTGTCTCATATGAGACAAATAGTATGTGTTAGAAATATCATTGCTTCCTAATACCACAAAAAAGAGACTATTGGCTAGAATAAAGTTTGTCCTGTCTTCACCAACAACTCCTTTAAGTTTCACAATGTAATCTTGGAATAACTTTAGTTGTCCAGTCATAGATATAGCTACCTGCTTAAACAGAGTAAGGAAGAAGAATTCATAAATGAAAATACCAATTTTTTTAGTAACACTTTTTGGGTTGATGAAAAATATGTTTACCTCTAATTTTGATGTCATTGGATCATATCCTGCACCCCCAGATGCAAAGTTTACACCTGTGGGCAGTTCACTAGGCTGCAGATTTGGATCCAAATATGCTGGTAGATACTCTTTAATTCCTAATTCTTCAACTGACATTATCACAGTACAATTTAAAATGATATACAAAAATAGCTTTTAAAATCAGCTTATGATAGGTTGATAAACTATTTTCAACTTATTTTCATAAGTATAACTTATAACAAAACATGAGTTATAAATACGTAGACTCGAACACTCTAGTGTTATATTGAGATTCAGCTCTTATCGATTCGATTCGTAACTAAAATAATAAAAGAGAGGAGATAAATATAAAACACATATTACCTATAAAATCCGAGGGAACCTTTCCGTTGCTAAATCTTCCGGTTGGAATTCCTCCTTGAAAATCTTTCCCATATGGAGGGTAATTACACTGAGAAGGTGTTGTCATGTTATTGTTATTTCCAGTATCCATAATTGAATCTCCAAACACAAACACAGCTGGAATTGAAACATTTGGCGGAAGTTTTAAAACCGCAATTGTTTTGCTAAAAACAACTAAAAATATTGTGAAACGGAGAAATGTAGTGGAAAATAGATAAGAATGTGTTGGGAACTTCATAATGTATAAAAATGGTACACTACTATATAACTGTGTATAGTTTTTGTTTAAAGATTTTCTCCTTCTGGTGCAATATTAATATAAAGATCAATGATAATAGTAATGACAAAAATGGAAGGGTATTTATTTGTGCTGTGAGGTGAGATTGTTATGCAATGGATGTAAAGTTTTGTCAGTAGTTTACTGAAATGAGTATGAATGGATTTAATTGCATGTGGGTGGGTGCATTAAATAAGTTGTGCCAACTATGCCTAAAGACCTAGTAAGTGTTACTTTCATGAAACCCAATTGGGTTGGTAAAGGACCAATGCTTGTTTTATAACTAGAAACAATGTACACAACCATTCTCTTTGAATGGTTTGCACCATTTTGTTAAAGTCTTTAAACATAATATTAAGAATATCGCAAATTCGAACTCAAACATTTGTTATGAGTTTGTGCATCTATCAATTGAATTGCATCAAGATTTGAAATTGAGATAGTTGGGTGTATGAGTGTATAGTAGTTATTGTTTATTATTATTTTATTTTTTTAATTTTTTTTAAAATTGTTAATAATAATTTTTTTTGCAAACACCATTAACTTTATCTTTAACTTTTTATGAATTTGTATGTGACATAAAACAAGAGGCTATGAAGTAAATAAGACACTTAATTGAGATAGGGAGAGTTCTATAATGTGTGTTCATACTTCATAGGAATACTATTGCTTTAATAAATGTAAAGAAGCATGAGTGGTTGATGCGTTGAAAAAATCATGGATGGGATTCAATAATATAAAGAAATGGAAAGTTTAGGAAACAAGTCTCATGAAAAGTCACTTTCATACTATTATTTACTCATTAATTACTAGTATATATATATATATATATATATATATATATATATATATATATATATATATATATATATATATATATATATATATATATATATATATATATATATATATATATATATATATATATATATATATATATATATATATATATATATATATATATATATATATATATATATATATATATATATATATATATATATATATATATAAACTTACAAATATAATATCTTTCAATTTATAATGAAATTACTTGCACATCAAACAATCTCAAACTAACTAATTTCGACAAGGTGTATTCGACTTTGTCAAATACATACAACTTAAACTATTACAAGTTTTATTTGATCTTATCAAATAGATGTAGATTTGACTACTACAAACTGTATTTGGCTCTATCAAAAACATGCAACTTTGACTTTGTCGAATCCTGCATTTACAAATATGTTTAACACGAAGAATTACATATTTAACCATTTACAAACAACAAACATGTCAGATAAAGTTTTAGTATCCAGCAAAAAAAGAAATTAACTCTTGAATTTTATTATGATAAAATATAACTTTAAAGACTACACGAAAAAGTGTTTAAATATAGAAAAAGAGACCTCAATAGATTTTTAAATTAAAACAAAAATCAAATAGAATAGAAAAAAACTCTAATTACCTTTTAATTAAAAAAATAAAATTAAATTAAAAATTAAAAAAAATATTAAAATACTTTTTTTAGGTAAAAATAAACTCGGATATTGTTTGTGTGTTAGTGAATTTATACTCTTTATTGTACACTAATGCAGTCTCTTTTAAAATAAGAGTAGACGTGAATTGCACACTCCTTTTTATTTCAAGTATAAAAGAAAGTTGAATAATTTAAGTTTAATATAATTGGTATGTGGAGATTTTGATTGTAAAGTAGTTATATTATATATACTACTACAAGTTATTTTAAAACAATATTTTATGTTTTTTCCTTTCTTTAATAAGTGATATGTAAAGTAGTTATTTTAATAAATAGGAGAAGAGTTTGATCACGTTTTTTCTTTCCTTTCTTTATGATCTTATGTCAGTCTTATGAACAGAGTGGAGTCATATTGCAAGATCAAAATTCAAACTATAAACACAATACTTGAGTGATGTATGGTTTTTATTTTTTGGATTTATCGACTAATAGATAATAAATACTTATAAACTTAAAATATTGAATTTAATAATATTGATATTTGTTGATTTTTCTTAAAATTTTAATATTCCATCTTAATACCGACTAATTTAGAGAACAATCTCACATCCATTAACCAATGGTTTTATTAAAACCAAAACAAAATTGTGTATAAATTCAATCTAATATAAAAATTGTTAACATCAACTAGATTTAAACTTTGAAACATTGACTCACAAAATCTTAGAAAACCTTCCTCAATAGATTAACTTAACTTGCTAACTGGTAGAAGCTGAGATTAAAACTACAAAGAAAATTTTTATTGGCAAAAGATATACGATAATAGTAATACTTAATCCAATTGAAAAATAAAAAAAGATTAAAAAAAAAATTAAAAAAAAAAAAAACAACTTCACTAGGATCAGTATGAATTAATTCAAAGTCAATGTTTCAACTTTTGATCCAATAAAAATTATTTAAGAATGGCACCAAATTCATGAAGAGGACGTTTAGTATAGGTAGACAATTTATGTCTTTTAATTTTAAATAATTTAAAAGTTATTCTCTCTCTAAGCTTTAAATTATTTCCTTTTCTAAATTATTATGCGAGAGAATCATCTTACAACTAATGTGTGATTGAATCACTCGAGTGAAAAGTGAAAAACAAGGATCTTGAATAAATTAAGAAAGTGATTGAGTCTTGTTCTATCAAGGTTGATTTCAACATCTGATATTTAGAGCACCAGTTGCGATTCTTGGGAAGCATAAAACAACGAATTCTCATCCAAACTGACATTTTCAAAAAAATCTTTCCATTTTGAATGACAACAATTAGCGATAATGCCACTGATGAACAAAATGTTGCATATAAAGATTTAAAGAAAAAAGATTATAAAGCCCTCTTTATAATTCATCAATGTGTTAATCCAGACAACTTTGAGAAAGTTGGTGATGCTAACTCGTCAAAGGAGGTTTGGGATATCATGGAAAAGTCATTTGGAGGTGCTGAGAAGGTGAATCAAGTGAAGTTATGAACTCACAAAAGAACTTATGAGTTGCTTTAAATGGAGAAAAACGAAAGTGGTTGATTTCTTCACTAGGGTAACAAGACTGGTGAATCAAATCAAGATGCGTGAAAAATTATTGACATCAATATCGATAGTTGCAAAAAACTTGAGGTATTTGCTTCTAGAATTCGATCATATGGTTGTAGCCATAGAAGAATCAAAGGACCTATCAAGCATGACAAAAGAAGAGCTCCAAGGGATGCTTGAATCTTAGGAATAAAGAGTGGCTGAAAGATCTGCAAGGAAAACAAAAACCGATGTAGCTTTACAGGCACAATCAGCAAAAGAAAAGAAAGGCAGAAGAAGATGGAACAACAACAAAGATAGAGGGGGTTACAACAATTCAAATGGTAGGAGTCACCAATAAGAAGGAAATCCATATAATTAGAGACAATCTATAAACTAAAGTAATCACAGAGAACCTTTTTTGAGTGGTTAATAATAACATGAGTAAAACCTTATGAAGATGAGTAAGGAAACCTAGGTTTATAATTAGGTAAATGAACTAGAAAGATAACTTAGGTTACAAATATGATTTAGATAACTTTAAACGGTGATGTTTATTCGATATGATACCTCAGTGAGTATCATGGATGAATGATCATCATAGTTGAGAGTGAGATGCTTTGTATGGAATATATGTTGTTATTTTTGTGTGATTAAGGTGAATGTGATCACCTTGTGATTGTCGAATACAATCATATTGTGTTATATCTATTCACGTAGTCAGAAATAACCCCTTGATTGTGCCATCCCAAGTTGTGATGCTTATATAGAGTGAGAATTGAGATGTACGCACCAATACTTGAATGAACTGAGTTTGAGTCCTAAAAGCGGTAGATCCTAGAGTGGGTTAGAGTCCTGTACGGGTAAAATACTTTAAATGGGTTTGGAGACCCATAGGAAGAGACGATTCTTGAGGTGGATGTTATCCCTTAGAATCTGAAATCCATGCGTATGTCAAAAATATGAGATAAGGATTTGTGACCCGTGTCGGTAACCCTAGACGTAGGGCTTGCTAGGGAAAGATACCTTGAATTGGTTTTTGATTAGTAATTGTTTAACTTGGTGAAAGAGACATGTTTTCATACATTGCGAGTTTTGTGTACTCAAGTCGTTCCTCTTTTTTACTTGAGTTAGAATTAATTAGAACATTGTAGATCCGAGTGGAGCCATAAGATAGATAACTCACAGAGATTATCATCTTACCTCAATATTGTTGTTACTTTTCAGGTTTTGTTTGCAGGTTTAGTATACAAGATGATATGTGCATTTATGTTTCAAGGGAAGCTCTTATTGTAATCTTCCGCTGTATATTTTGTACAATTGCAAATATTGTACATAGTTCTTAGAGTTTTATTTAGGCACTATTGTATGACATGTGTCATATGTGGTATTTTAATTTATGAACATGTATATAAAGATGTCGTTAGGCACTTATGTTGTGACAGTACCAATAATTAACACTTGTATGATATTATTCTATATATATATATATATATATATATATATATATATATATATATATATATATATATATATATATATATATATATATATATATATATATATATATATATATATATATATATATATATATATATATATATATATATATATATATATATATATATATATATATATATATATATATATATATATATATATATATATATATATATATATATATATATTATACGGGTTTTTACAATTGATGCTGTCTGGTGGGATAAACTTGTTGCTCAGAGGCAGAGGTAAAGAAAATGGACGGTCAGATATTGGCAAAGAATGAAACAGTTGGTGTTGGAGAGGTTTTTATTGCAGGATTAAGAGAAAATTCTTTATCAGATGTATATTAAGTATCTTTAGGGAAAGAGAACTGTAAGAGAATAAACAACTGAGTTCTTGCGTTTCTCTTAGCATAATGAACTAGG